TGTAAAAAAAGAAGGAAAAGTAGAGAGAGAATGTAACAGAAACAGAGAGAGAGAGAGAGAGAGAGAGAGAGAGAGAGAGGAGGAGGAGGAGGAAGGAAAAGAGAGAAAAGTTTGGATATTAATAGAGTTTGAGATGAAAAAGACGTGCCAAACAAGGCAAGTCTGGTACTTAAATTTCAATGATGTAGAGATCACTAATTTGGTAGTTCTAAATCCATTACTAACGAGGTGGAAAAATAAAAATAAATAAATAAAAAATAAACAGACACAATAGTGGGTGAAACATCACTAGTGATAGTTCTAATTAGAGCTTCTCCTCATTTTTCCACTCCAATAATCTAGCTAGCTAACCCCGACAAGAGTCCCTACAACAAATTTCAAAAAGGCCCAAAATCAAACCAAACAGCCCTTAAACCCAACGCAAATTGAGAGAGAGAGAGAGAGATGGCAGGGTATAGAGTTGAAGATGAACATGATTACTTGTTCAAGTTGGTTTTGATTGGTGATTCAGGTGTGGGTAAATCGAACGTTCTCTCGAGGTTTACGAGGAACGAATTTAATCTGGAATCCAAGTCCACTATTTGGGTTGAGTTCGCTACCAAAAAGCCTCAACATTGATGGCAAGGTCATCAAAGCTCAAATTTGGGACACAGCTGGTCAAGAAAGGTCTCTCTCTTCCTCTCTCTCTCTCTCTCTCTCTGAAAGATTTGAATGCGGGCAGGCAGGTTCATGGGTATGTGGTGAAATCTGGGTTTGAGTTCAATTTAGTTGTTGGGAGTTCTCTGGCTCACATGTACATAAAGTCTGGAAGTTTGGGAGGAGGAGAGAGAGTGATCAAAGCAATGCCAATTCGCAATGTGGTTTCTTGCATCACGCTTATTGCGGGTATAGCTCAAAACGGGTTCTCTGAGGGTGCTTTGGATCAGTATAATATGATGAAAATGGTAGGTTTTAGGCCTGACAAGATTACGTTTGTGAGTGTTATCAGTTCATGTTCGGAGTTAGCAACACTTGGACAAGGCCAACAGATTCATGCGGAAGATGCTATTATATGGAAGACTTTATTATCTGCCTGTAAAATCCATGAAAACGCAGATATTTCAAAAAGAATTGCTGAAGAAGTTCTTAGGCTTGATCCTCAGGATTCGGCTCCTTATGTGCTGCTGTTGAATGTTCAAGCCTCTGCTAAAAGATGGCAGGATGTTTCAGAAGTGAGGAAAGTGATGAGAGATAGGAGGGTGAAGAAGGAGCCAGGTATTAGCTGGTTTGAGGTGAAGAACCAAGTTCACCAGTTTTGTGTGGGTGACAAATTCCATCCACAATCAATGCAGATTGATATGTACTTGAAAGAACTGACTTGGGAAATGAAACTGACGGGTTATGTGCCTGACACCGGCTCTGTTTTACATGACATGGATGCTGAGGAGAAGGAATACAACTTGGCACACCACAGCGAAAAGTTGGCAATTGCTTTTGCTCTGATGAACACTCCAGACGGTGTTCCAATCCGGGTGATGAAGAATTTGCGTGTTTGCTGTGATTGCCATGTTGCTATCAAGTACATATCAGAGATTAAAAAAAATATAATAAAATAAACCGAGAAAATAGGAAATCAAGATCCAAATTGGTTTGAAAATTCTATCTTAAATAGACTCAGATGCTTCATCAATGTACATTTAGTGGTGAATCCAAAACTTGTCTTGTGGGGAAGAAAAGGTCTCACCGTCTCCTATCCTAAACTACCTGTCTTCCTTCAAATTTATCTTTTAAACTGATTGTTTAGATTTTGTAAATTAACAAAATTCAAAATTAAGAAAACCTATATTAGTTGAGAAATTGGAAAGTAAATCATATTTTAACTTCTGTTTTTTAAAAATAGAATTTTTTGAATTGTTTCAATTCTAAAAACTTACATATTCATTAAATGGAGTGTTATTTAATTTTATTTTTATTTGTTTGCATAATGGACAAATGGTGGGTGAGGAACTAAGAATTTGTTCCAAAAATACAAATATCATAACGCACATGAAATTAAACCATATAAAAGTACCAAGAATGTAAACGTTAGCATGATCGGGCCTATCAGAGGTATCCTTAGCCTCATTATTTTCACCAGAGGTAAGCCCCATTGTGTATCATTTATTTATTGTGGTTTGATTCGGTGTACATAGACTTATTCCATCCATCATTACGCACATGTATACATATGTACCTCTCTGTCTACAGGCATGCTTATTTACCTGGAAGTTATGATATACATTGACATTCTCATGGGCTCATTGGTCAATCTCTGCCCGCAGAACCTGTAGAAAATTGCTCCACCTCCTTTATAAGACTTGACTTGCGATGACTTTTACTCTCCCACCCCCAAGTTTACTCTGGTAACTCTTTATAAAGCTAGCAACCAAAGAGTGAGAAAGTAATTCATCAGAGATCATGGCTGGATTAATCATATTTTTGTTCTGCTCATTTGTTTTCAGTGTGTGTTTAGCTCAAAATGTTGCCCAAACTTCTGTTGAGGCAGCTGGATCTTCTTCCTTACCTCCATCATTTGGTCCCATGTTCTACCTCAATTCAAGTTTTCCCTCAATTTGCTACACCAATGATTCTAATGGTAGGAGTCTCGTCAGTGAAGACAGCTCAACAACTATGAGAGCAATCTTCTCAAGAAGGGGAAGTGTTGAGTTTGTTTGTGGATTCTACTGCTTCGGCAGTTGCACCTATTACTTGTTCTTAGTTGCCATTGTTGGTGGAGGCAATCATAGTGTAGTTTGGTTAGCAAATGTAGGCCATCCTGTGAAAGAAGGTGTGACGCTACAACTCACAGTAGATGGAGAATTATTACTGCAAAATTCAGATGGAGACCACATGTGGTCAACCAATACATTAGGCAAGTTTGTGGTGGGAATGAACATGACCGAATGGGGAAATTTGGTTATATTCAACAACAAAGGAGCAATTGTTTGGCAATCTTTGGATTACCCCACAAACACATTGCTTGTTGGGTAGTGGTTATACAAGTTTCAAAAACTCATTTCAAGTTCCTCAAACTTATGGGCTTGTGGTTTGTGCTTTGCCGCATTGAAATTGGCTACCAGTTTTGTTACATACATAGGAGGTATGCAGAGCTTCAACAAGGAAGTTTCCTTGTGAATTTTGCTACATCTCAATCAACGTTTAAAATAATTCCCATCAATTTTCCCTCCACTGTTAGCACTGCATATAGAAAATTAGGTAGTGATGGGCATTTGAAGATATTCTGTCACAGTAATGCCGATGGGTTGAGGGAGATTGTTGATATGATTACCCATGATTTAGGTGAATGTCAACATCCTCACACTGTGGTGAATATGGCTTATGCAGAAAAAACCAGTGTAGTTGTCCCGTAGGCATTGATTGGGTTCGATATTTTGGGCAGACACAGAGCTAAAATGGAAAACATCAGCGACTTAGCTTCAAATACCCTATATGGGTTGCTCTAGGATTACTACGCCCACCTCCCTTTGACCAGAAGCACTATCTTGTTGAAGTTAGAAATGCAAGCTACTTCAACCTCATCAACAAAGATGCTGCATTTCCAAATATTGATGACATAGATATATGCAAAGAGATCTGTCTTGTCACGCCCCCAACTCGCCCCTAAAAGTTCGGGCATGACCTATTCTTAAACAGACATATAACCTGGTATACATATGGTATATGGGGCCCTGACGGAAGCACAAACATACAAGAATATAAAACCAACAAATTCCATTGAGCTATTTCTAACATGCCAGGATCTCATACATTACATGCACCATAAGAAGTTGATAGAATCCAAAAATACCCCTTAGCAGAAGATATATTTACAAACATATATACAGACCCAGCCCTATAGTCGGGCATGTAACAAAACTTTCGGAGTTATACACAATCAACTTGGAAGGGTAGCCAAAAAGACTTCACAAAATGGGTGGCCTTGTGAGTGCTTGGATACACGAAGGTTGTCAAAAGGAACCGAGCATCATAGATTAGGATTGACCACCTGATTGATTGCCTACAGAAACAGACATAACAGAGAGTGAGCCGGGCTCAGTGAATAGTAGTACATAATGAAACAATGCTCAACTTGAACATGACATATAGCAGTATATGTGTGAATGCAAAGATCGCAAGGGTAGTTTGATTCTGTATGCATCTTATATCGGCCTTAGGCCCATACCTGAACATAAAACTTGATATATCATATCCTTAATTTATATCAGCTTGAAGCCCTTAACATGGTGGCATAATGCCCTTAAACATAGTGGCACAAGGCCCTTAAACATAGTGGCACAAAGCCCTTGTAACATATGGCACTAAGGCCCTTGAAACTTGTTGGCATTAAAGCCCTTGAAAATGGCATAAAGCCCTTGAAACCATACTTATACGGACTCAAGAGGTGTCTCTCACGGATTCTAGAGGTGGCTCACGTCGTAGCACTTAGTTCCGTGTAGCACTTTGTTCCGTATCTTGATAACTTATCTTGAATGGCCATAGGCCTAGAGTCTTATAGAACATAGGTGTTTTATCTTTCTTATTTCATTCACTACATACTTGGATCATACGGGAGCATTAACATACATACTTACACATTTGAAACATTAATCTTAGTTGCGTACTTGAGACATTAACATAGTCGCGTAAACGAAATGCTAATGAAAATCATTATTCATGTGGAAGGAAGATAATGATACTACTACTCACAGTGTTGCGACGACGTGCTTGTTCTTCCCGGAGTGTGCCCTTATGCTTTAATCTTCCACAAATTCTTAACCTTTGATGATCTCCTCCCCCTACCCTTCAATTTCTCTCATTCTCCATCTTCCCTTAGGAGCAAATATCATTTCTAAGTCTTATGAGTCATAAGACTCTTATGAGCATATATATACATATATAAAAACTTAGATAGAGACAAAAATGAATCGTTTAAGCATCCCCAAATTAAAATTTCATAAACATGCTTAATATTACTTAAAAATCACGCTGATCATATGTGTGATATCAATTCCAGATAATTAAGCCTCTAAGGCTTCCAATTTCTGATCTAAACATTCTCTTACAACAGATACTTTTCTTATTGAACAGATAGACATCTTTAATCATATGGTTTACTTAATTTAAATTTCCCATAGGATTCCACAGTAAGCATTCAAAATCGCCAAAATAGGACCCAGAGATATAACAAAGAACATGTACGAGGGTCGGGTTATTACATGTCTGCTAATTTGTTCCTGTGGTGTAGCCTTTTTCAGGTATAACAATAATGTTTCAAATGGGTATTGTTATATCCCATCCATGGTATTGACAATTAGAGAAGGGCAAGTCCCAAACCACAGTTTCATATCTGCAACATTTGTCAAGGTCCAAATTCTCTATAAGGCAGAAAACGAACAAGTAGAAGGCACTGTGCCTAACACGTCTCCACCTACTTCATGAAGAAATTTAAAAGCAATAATAGCAAGTTCATGTGCTGATGCCCTTTTAATTTTTGTTGTTATAATTGTTACATGCTTTGTGATGTTGTGCCCAAGCTGCTCAGAGAACGAGGAGGATTGTATGAAGCAAGTTCCAGGAAGTCTAGTGAGGTTTTCATATGAACAGCTATGTGTTGCATCAGAAGATTTTAAGGAGAGATTGGGAGGTGGAGCATTTGGAACTATGTTCAATGGGATGTTGGAAGATGACAGTTAGATTGCAGAGAAGCGTTTGGGTAAATTGGGCCAATGGATGAAGGAATTCTTTGTTGAAGTTGAAACACTTGGACACATACACCAAGCTAATGACTAATGGCTCTTTGGATAACTGGATTTTCTGGAATAACCAAAAACCTTGCTTCAATTGGCAAAGGTCGGAAGAAGATTATACTTCACATAGCCATTGGGCTGGCTTACTTGCATGAAGAATGCCGACAGAGAATAATTCACCTCTATATAAAGCCACAAAGCATTCTCTTGGATGAAGATTTAGTGCCAAAATCTCTGATTTTGGGTTATCCAAGTTGATAAACAGAGATGAAAGCCATGTTCTGACCACAATGAGAGGAACTCTTGGATATATTGTTCCAGAGTGGCGACAAGCAAGAGTCACCATCAAAGCTGATATTTATAGCTTTGGAATTGTTCTTCTTGAGAGAGTTAGTGGCCGCCGAAACTTTGAAAGCATGCAGTCAAGATCTAGAAAACATCTGCTTCAAGTGTTGCAGGAGAGGGCTGAGTATCAACTACTTGACATGGTAGAAAACATGGATGAAGGAGTCAAACAATATCATGCCGAGGAGGTGGTCAAGATGATAAAGATTGGAGCTTGGTGTTTGCAGATTGATCAGTCAGGAAGGCCTTAAGGTTTTGGAGGGATTGATGGAGGTGGATACAAACATCAACTACAACTTTACATATGCAACAGCATCTTCTTCAACAGTTAACAACCATGCTTCCACAACACCACCAGCTTCAATTCTTTCTAATCCTCGATGAAAGCAGAAGTTAAGGCAACCAAATAACTTTTGTAATTCAGTTCTGAATTTTGATTATTTGGACAAGTTGGACTAGATTACATGGGACTATTAGGCCATGATTAAATGTTCTTTGATTACCAATCCTTTAGGATTATATGTTCTATCCTATGTCTAGAATGCTCATAGATTAAGAAGTGATTAATAGAATCATGTCATAACCCATGTTCATTTGAAATCACTAGACATGGATTGCATGGTGTAATGACTATAGTTTGAGGATATTTGATATTTTAACCACTAAATCTAGACCCCCGTCAATCCCCCGTTTTCATATCCCACTGTCCTTTAGGGACTCAGTAGTCCCTCAAATGGAGGATATACAGTTTGGGAGGATTGTTAACCCAAAAGTCCACTTTTATATCTAATCGTAAAAATTCAGTATTGACCAGGATCAACCCAACAAAGATTAAGTTCTACAGCTACAACCTGTTTGGACCATTGCAAGTCATATGAACCTATTTTAGAGTATAAAACAAGATAGCCATTACAAGTCATACCCTTCTTAAATTACATTAATATGAGAAAAGTTGCTAATGTTGGATGAGTAGGGACAACGCTGTATTTTGAAAACATAGGTTATTTGATGGCCTAAAGAATGAGCAATTTAGGATTTTAAGGGTTAAATTGATGGTTAATAGGTAGAGAAAGGGATTAGGGTTGATTTGGGGGGTGATTTCATGGGGTTTTGAGGTTGAAAATCTCACTTTTAGAGGGCTGTGAATAGTAATATGAAAATAGTAAATTAGAAGGGAAAAAAAATGAAAAAGATAGATCTAGAAATTACTCTTAGAATCTTTAGGCATCACACCCAGGGTTTGATTGCATCACACGATCCATAAAGAAGCTTCAAAAGCTTTTAAAATTCTCTAAAATATTAACTCTAATTATAGGGTTTATTACACTTTCTATCCCTAAACTATAGTCAAATTGTCTATCTAGTTGCTGAACTATTGATTGAATCTACAAAATCTGTAAATTTATTAAGTTCCTAAAATATTTAATTCAAATCTATTTAGTCCTTGAAAGAATTATAAAATTAAAAATATATGCCCGTAAGTATTATAAATTAGTAAAAAACCCTAATAATCAAAATTTTCTTTAAAAAATTACATTTTTTTTTATTTTCTCTTTAAAAAGTATTTTATTTAGTTGTGTGTTTAAATTAGTATTAGAGTCTAATTTCTCAGTATTGCCTATAAAATTATATGAGTATTAGATATACTGAAAAAGTAGAATTAGATAGTTTAAATAATAACATTTTGTTACAAATAATAATAGGAAAAATAATATATTAATTAAATTCTATAAAATAACTTAGCGAAAAACTTAAAAATAATCAATTAGAAATTATTTCTAACGTATAATACTAGATAAAAATAAGCACATGCAGCCATTTTAGAAAATAACTAACAAAATGCTACAGATAATACATTTACCCTTATAAAGGAAATTCACCATAAGAGCTAATGCCTACTTTTTAAAGACGGAATAAAAATTAAAAATTTTTTGAAATAAAATTTTAATTAGATAGGGTCTTTTACTAATTTATATATTTATGAGCTTAAATTTTATTTTTGTTGCATTTTCAGGGACTAAATAGGTTTGATTTAAATAATTTAGAGACTTATTAGATTCAATTGCTAGTTTAGGGACTAAACAAACTTTAATCTATATACTTTAGGAACTTAATACACTAAATCGATAGTTTATGGACTAAGTAGACAAATTAGCGATAGTTGAGGGTATAGAGTGTAATAAACCCTAAATTATAAGCATTGTATGGCTTTACATAGAATTAGGAGACTTTCTAAACCAACTAAACAAACAAACAAACAAACAAACAAAAAGAAAACTGCTACAATATCTTTGACTTTCAAAATCAATTTATGACCAAATAAGAAATATAAATAAAATTTAATTAAATAACTTGACCCACAAGGGGAGACCTAAGTATAAAAATTACCAAAATACCCCTGATTTAAAAATTCAAGAAAATATAAAATAATCATAAAATATGACTCTAATAATACTAGAAATATAATTATGAATGACTCCTATCAGTTTTTCTTTTAAAGCATGTCAATTTCTAAATATCGTCACTTATTTGAATTTACTCTTCTTTGAGTTTCTTATACTCTACATCAGTTGCATGCATGCTTGAGACAAACTAAAAACATAACAGAAGGGGGAAAAAAAAGTAATTAAAGCATGGGATAATATCACATAGTTGTTAAGTACAAAGATCTGCAAGTCCAATCAGACCTCAAGTACCTAGGAGAAGAGAAAAACTAATTAAAATGTCAAAGAGTAAGATGAGAGATGATAAACAATTAAAAGAAGACACAAATGTAGACATCACACCTAATAACGGGACACATAATATTCCAAATCAAATATAATTTTTATATATATATATTTTAATATGTGGATCCATCACTAAGCTCAATGTGTTGAGCCACTCTTATCAATTAAATTTAGGGCAAACTTCACTTTATCCCCCTATGGTTTAGGCCATGTGCGGATTACCCCCCCTCCGACTTTTAAATATCACCACATAACCCCCCTGTGGTTGATGGAGTAATGTGCACCGTTAACACTGTGTATGGCAGATGTAAAAAGACCAATTTGCCCTTGTATATATATATATCTAAGCTTGCTTACCATTTTGACTTCCAGCAGTCGTGCATCTGTGAAAAGGAAAGTGAAGAGAACTAGGGTTGTTCAATTGAACGATTCAATACATTAGGGTTGTTCGATTGAAAAACTTAGGGTTTCAATCGAACAAAATGGTGTATAGATTTGAGAAAGTAGGGCTTCGATTGTTCGATTGTCACTGATTTGGAGATTTACGAAGCAAACATAGCCCAAAAGTTCACGAAGAATAAGTTGTAAAGTATTTTTTCGATCATTGCTTTTTATTTTGTATTTCATTCGATTCGATTTGCATATATATATATGAAATGTTAGTTGATGTACTTTTTGTTGCTGTATACTGTGGTCTCGTATGTTTTGTATATTTGGGTTTGTGACTTCCAACAGTCGTGCATCTATGAAAAGGAAAGTGAAGAGAACTAGGGTTGTTCAGTTGAACGATTCAATAAATTAGGGTTGTTCGATTGAAAAAATTAGGGTTTCAATCGAACAAAATGGTGTATAGATTTGAGAAAGTAGGGCTTCGATTGTTCGATTGTCACTGATTTGGAGATTTACGAAGCAAACATAGCCCAAAAGTTCACGAAGAATAAGATGTAAAGTATTTTTTCGATCATTGCTTTTTATTTTGTATTTCATTCAGTTCGATTTGCTGATATATATATATATATATATAAAATGTTAGTTCATGTACTTTTTGTTACTGTATACTATGGCCCGGTATGTTTTGTATATTAGGGTTTGTGTGCCTCCCTTTTTCGTACTATTAGTGGTTAACTTTTTGTCATGGACACTGTGTTCAATGCAGTTGGTCATATCCTGTTGCTATGGTGGTTTTGTATATATGAAGTTGTTCATATACTGTGGTCCCCTATGGTTGTTTGTTTATTTGTAGTGAATGATGTTAGTGTATTATTTTGTTTGTTTATTGTCATTGTGTTTTGTGTGGGGTATGCACTAAAAAGGTGAAGTTTATCCCTAATCCTCAGTGTATTACTTTGTTTGTTTCCTTCTTCAATTAACTTTTAACTTCATGCCTGAAGAATAGGGTTTTTAATTCTATTACTTTATGCTTTGTATTGTATGACTGTAGGCATTTAATCCTCAGTGTATACTGTAGGCATTTGTATTGTATGACTTTATACTTGTATATTCTTTTTTTGTTTTGTGTGATCTGTTTGAGGATTAGGGATTATTTATTATTTTAGTTTATGTTGGTTACATGCATGACTATATCTTTGTTTAGGGTTTAGCGTTGTGGATTGTGGTCCCAAAATGTATTGATGAAAGTCTTTTCTACTTTAGGAGTGAATGCTGAAAATGTCAGACAAATTCATAATTGTTCAAATGCATCACGGAAGCCATTTTGTCTTTCATCCACATGTTGTCTATGAGGGTCGTAGGGTGAATGAAATAATTAACTGTGACATTGACAAAATGTCCATGTTTGAGTTAAGAGACCTTTATTATGACCTGGTTTGTCACGTCCTAATTTTTAATTACTTGGAAACATTACCCAAGCTTG